TACAGACCTAAGGGAGAAGATTGTTCAGAAACACAATTCTGGAGAAGGCTATACATCAATTTCAAAGGTTCTCAATTTGCCATTAAGTAATGTAAAATCGGTTGGGAAGAAATGGAAAGTGTGTCACATTATCTCAACCTTGCCAAGATCAGGTCGCTCTAAAAATGTCTGGGCTCGAACAAGCACAAAAAACAAGCGACTGTCAAGCCAACAGTGGCACTGAAGGAGCTGCAGACTTCAATAGTAGCAAATGGAGTTACTGTACACACCTCGACAATATCACGTATCTTACACACACAAAAAAAGGCTTGTATGGTAGGGTGGCAAGAAAGAAACCACTACTGACGAAGATACATCTTAGATCGCGAATAGACTATGCTCGTAAACATTTCAATAACCCTACAACAATGTGGCAGAAAGTTCTATGGTCAGATGAGACCAAAATATAAATTTTTGGGTTAAATGACAAACGGTATGTATAGCGGAAACCCTACACTGCTCATGACCCGGTAAATAGTCCCAACTCGCATACATGGCGGTGAGTCCATAATGCTGTATTTCTGCAGCTGGCACTAGACAACTTGTACGTATTAAAGAAATCATGGACATGAAAAATATACACAGATGTTGGGGGTAAATCTGAAGAAGTCAGCTGAAAAATAATGATCCCAAACACATATCAAGGACATACCAACAATGGTTTCAGAGAAACAAAATTAAAGCCCTCGACTGGTCAAAACAAAGCCTAGACTTAAATCTACTCTAAAATCTGTGGAGAGTCTTGGAAATTGCTGTGCATCGAGGTGCTTGGAGGTTTAACCAAAACGACTTTCAACTTTCATTACTGTCAAAGGAGCTTCAAACAAATATTAACTGCAGAATAATATTTGGGGATGAAGACTTTTTCAAGATATTTTTGTGTTATGTCACTAAAGTGAGTAACAATGCACTTTTTGTTCTTTGTAATCATTAGAAACTGGTTTGAGATAAATATAATAAATATTTTTGGCCATTTGAATGTTTCACAAGAAAACTAAAATTGATTACCAGCACAGGTGGGTGAAGACTTTTGCAAGGCAGTGTATTTTCAACTACATTTCCTTAAACATATACACAGTTTGGACACTATATTTTACTCTCTTTACCTTATATTGTTGACATCCCAATTTGCTTAATTTAGTTTTGTTACCACCATTCACATAGTACGTGATAAAATGTTGATTCGAAAATAAGATCATTTTCAAGTGAATTCATCACCTCTTCAATTATTTTCACGAGTGAAGTATAATTTTTTCCCAAACTTTAGACTATTTTCTTGTTCCCGCCCCATATCTAACGACCTTTGTTAACGAATATATCTTTTCTAAAGTAAGCCACTGGCCGAAGCGTCCTACTATAAAAGTACAATTTGTGAATGTTATAAGCAGTCACACAACTATTATTATTTTTTCATTAAAATAACTAGGCATTTGTGATTTTTCAGTAACGATGTAAATTAATGAAACTTTATTTCATAGTGGAAACGTTTAAAGCACCACAGAACAATCTAGTCGTAAAGCTATGATGCAACATGAAATATAATTATACAAAAGAACTCGCACAAGCACGGCAGAGCTCAATCACTGGTTGAGTGCATTCTGAGTTGAGCAGGTCGCTCGCCCTCTATCAAGACAAATTCTTAAAATACACGTACCTCTAAGCTGCAGCCTGTTCGGTCCTGAAAAGTGGTTGTAGGGCTATATATAAATTTTGCAGCTTTGATGAGTAAAGTGATTTCTCAATATAACGACTTGTATTTATACTCAATTGTATTTCATCTAACAATCAGTTCCAACGTTTGTGCAGCTTTACAGTTTGTTTTTTATTGCGGATAAACAAGCGTGTTACAAAGGCAGAGTCTAAACAACAACAAAAACCGGATACAAGTATATATTTACTCTTTTAAGTATCGAGGTTCTATTACACAATTTATAATTTCTGGGAAAATGAAAATTTTCATAAGATGTTTTTATTTCTTAGTTAAATTTCTAAACCTCTTTCATACTGTGTCCGAGTCCTAGTGATATTCAGAAGATGTAATAAATATCTTTATATAAATTTTTTTTATAATTTCACAGAGCCCAAAAAGAATATGCAAACTTTGATGGATATTCATACTCCAAATTATCAAGGTTTTCTACACACATCCTTACAAACCTATCCGCCAGAGCTCACGCTGGAAAACGCTCTTCCAATAGAAACGAAGCAAACTATTTAGACTTGAATATCAGCATCATTAATTAACTTTAAGGTTTTTAATAAAATGGTCACTTTCAAATTTGAAGTTATAAACTTTCCATTCCCAAAAACGAATATTCCAAATAAGTTATGTTGAAATGTTTCCTACTCCCAGTGAGTTAGATACAATAGGATTTGTTCATCATTCCAAGATATGTTGAATAAAGATTATAAACTCTCGCATTTTTCATAATCGAGGTTTCTATTTGTGAAAATTAAACACAAAATTCACTCAATTCTGTGAAAAATTCAACAATATCCTTGCTAATAACTATGGGTTTAGAGGTTCTATACAGAATCTCAACCTCTCAAAAAATTTCACGTGTACACTTTGATGTTAGGATGTTATTTGGTGTAAAAGTAAACAGCTTTAGTGTATCGACCATCAGATGTTTTATCATTTATTGAATATAGTTAATATCAACTAATTTATTATTTTTATAGAACTTTAATATTTTCTTTTTGGCTTTTAGAAAAGATTGAACATAATATATTACTTCTTTCAGCCTTCTCTAAATATTTGTCAAGTATAACTGGTAGTAAAAAATTTTAGACAAACCACATATGAAGTTTAACTAGTTGTTTTCTTCTTATTACAGTTAACGTTGATTTATTGTAGTGGTCAAGTTTTGTATCTTCTTAAACTTTGATTTCTGTGCTGTGGGAAAGTTGATGCTATACCAACACATGTTTTAAACTAAATCATATGGTAATTAACTGTCACTTAAGTTATATAGAGGACATGTTAGTAAGTTTTCTTTGGTGAAAGGTGGTGTTACAGAGAGGAATTTACCAAAGAAATATACATTAACCACTTTAGTGGTTGTGGATCCCCTTAGTAAGGTATGTTATTTTATCTATTTCTTATTGCTTTCATTAATAATGTTGTTTATAGTAGTTAGTTTTAAATATCATTACTTTCTATTTTCATTTATCATTCATTAGTATACTTAAATTATGCAGACTGTTTTACCTTGTTAGCTTAGAATTGTATTTATGACTGACCTAAATCTCCTAAGCTGGCCAAACCTCGTAATCAGCCAGGGTACTCAAGTGATGAGATAATGTATTCTAATCTTTATAAACAGAAACGTAATAAAAGTATATTTAATTGGCTAGAGTGACAACCAGGTTGATTTTTAGTTTCCCTCTAAGTACATAACTTACTCTGACTGTACTTTATTGTTATATACTAGAATATTTAGTGGCTTACTAAAAGAAATTCTCTATATTTGAAACACCAAATAGACTATTTCTTAAACACACCCATTTGCCGACAACTATATACACAATAACAAAAAATAATAAATCCGTTACAACACATACACACAAGAAAATTATACTTCAACATACAATGTTTATTGTAATAGTCACATCCACTGAAAGAAATATTATCCAGATGCTTGAGAGTTTTGGATCAATTTGCAGTAGGAGAAGCACAGATGTGTAACAGAGGACCAGTTTCAAGGAAATTTTGAAGATCTTGGTCAAGGACTGGCTGCTCATTAATCTCTTCACTACACATATGTGATGGTGAATTGCTTGTGATAAAGTCGCCTTCATGATTACAAGGAAGTTCCTCATCTGCTCTGCTTGTGCCTTGTGCAGGAGAAGAAGCCGGTGTTGCACTGGTTGAAGATGTGGTGGTGGCAGTTATGCCTAACGCTTTCCTTACGCTATCAACACAAACTAATGAGCCTGGACTAACCTACAGTAAAAAAAAATATTTCGTTATAAACATGTGGTAAGAAGTTACTACTAATAAAAACATTTAAATACGTGTTTTACAAGAACAAGTCATAACTAAAGAGAATTTACAAATATGTTTTCTATTGTGTGTTAATTGCAAGTTATATCTAAAATAACACATGCTTGCGAATCTAAACTTCATAAAAGTGGTTTTGGTTTTAATAACGGAATTTCCATAATTCAGCTACGCAGATTTCGAAAATAATATTAATTTTTTTTCTATCACATAAGGATTTTTTACAAATCGGGAAGAAAAAAAACTTTTACTTAGATCAAATAATTATTTCGTTTACCACAATGAACATTTATTATTATGTTTAGGTTATAGAACGATCGATAAGCATAACAAAATGTGACCAGATTTCAATGAAAATGATTCACTTATGCAAAAATACATATGATGTTTTGAGAAAAATCTGTACGTGATGGAGAAAAATGGATAGCATTTTTGGATTCAGCGTACAGGAATTACCATACAAGATGTAAAAATTTCAAGACAATAAAACCATCGCAGAGCTGTGTAATCAGTCTTTTGAGATTTATATAAATTTTGGTAAGTGTATTTGTCATATTGCAACAGTCGTTAAAGAAAAAATACAATAAATTATAATTACAATCCAACACCTATACTTTGCAACATAGTTGCATTTTTCAGCTAATTCTTCCTATTCTAGCAATTGCTTATCGTATCTTATTCAGAAAACGACAATTTCCTAAAAATTAAAAAAAAAAGAGTTACAAGATTAAATCCCCATAAAGGTACATAACACTGAAATGCAAAAAGATTAGGGAGATGGCATCAGTTCTTGATTTCCATGATCCAACACCAACAGATTAATGAAATCACAAGTTCTTAAAACCTGTAACTATGCTTCCTAAGACTTTAATTACTAAATATTGATACACATATGTGTGTCATTAAATTTTAGAACTTAACAGAACACCACAAGCTCATGCATGACCCTATTTACAAGATATATGTCTCTTGAATCCTTTAAAAGTTCAGAAATTAAACCATAACACTTTTCAACCTTCCACAAACTAAAGCTGTTGGAGAAAAGCCCAGCCCAAATACCTGAAACGAGAAAGAGAAACTTATTTTCCTTTTCTAGCAAGAAATAAAGCCTTTAAATGAAACTACTCCAATTAATGCCTATACTGATATCAGTCTGCTGCCTTTACATCCCTTGTGGGTGTCACAGTTTAAACCTACTTCTATGTGATGCAGCAAAGTCTTGTGAAATAGCTTCAACTTATTTTGGAAATTTGCAAAGAATTTATTATCTCTTTGCATCCTCAACAAAAAGATGGATAGTTCTAACATCATGTGTGACATATGCAGTGAAACTGCCATCTCAAAATTGATAGGAGAGTCGCATTCATTGTGTAAAAGTGATACGTTTCAAGGCACCTGCAATTTATAAAGCAATTATTGAATTACTGAAACCCCGACCTTCACAGTGTAACTTATGTTAAAGCCAATGGTCTTCTGAGTAGCTACAATCATTCAATTACTGAAAACCCCGACCTTCACAGTGTAACTTATGTTGAAGCCAATGGTCTTCTGGGTAGCTACAATCATTCAATTACTGAAAACACCGACCTTCACAGTGTAACTTATGTTGAAGCCAATGGTCTTCTGGGTAGCTAGAATCATTCAATTACTGAAAACCCCGACCTTCACAGTGTAACTTATGTTGAAGCCAATGGTCTTCTGGGTAGCTACAATCATTCAATTACTGAAAACTCCGACCTTCACAGTGTAACTTATGTTGAAGCCAATGGTCTTCTGGGTAGCTACAATCATTCAAATTTCTTCATTGCACAGTTACCTGGTATGACATCCTGTCACAAACAGAGTAAGCAAGCAAATGCAAAATATCGATATGCAGCTAGACATCACAGTGACATTGTTGAAAGGTATCCATGACTATAAGACTGAGTACAGAGATCATAGTTTTCAAAACGCAGTAGAAGTTGCTGGATCATTGAGGAAAAATTTCAGAGCAGTGTGTGAGAAATAAATGTAGAATTTTCCAGGATGAAGCATCAGATGAGCCCATAATTGATCCAACTGACAAATTTTGCATTGAATTCTTTAATGTTACGGTGGATGAAACAATTGTTGTACAAGCAAATGGTACAGTTTAAGAACAAGTATGGGTTCATATCTGATGTTAAATCTTTGGCAAAAATGAGTGACAATGACCTTAAAAAGGGATGCAAAGATGTACCTTTACATCTTGAAGGAGACATAGACCCTACAGAGTTATTGACTGAGATTAATTATCTTTTTTAATTATATACTCAACTTCAAGAAAAATGCACAGAATTAGCAGCCCTTCAATATATTTATATCTGACATTCAGTATATTTACCAAAATTTATGTGTAATACTTTGCATTATTCTCACTATATCTGTAACAGTTGCATCTGGTAAGAAGTCATTTTCAAATTTGAAAATAATAAAAACTTGTGTGCATTCTTCTATGTCACAAGACTATCTTGTTGGCTTAACAATGATTTCAATTGAACATAAAATTGGGAGATATTTAGATTATAGTGATCTGATTTGGAACACTGCTTCAAAGAAGGCACAAAAAGTTACATTACATTAGGTTACTAGAGAATTATCAGTCTCTCTCTACCAACATGTCATTGATTCATCAATATATTGGCTTATTAGCTTATGTAATGTGAAGAATGTGTGTCGTAGATGGGCCAACAAAGAACATGCAATGAACCTAGAATATAGCTCAATGTTAAAAACTCTGTCTTCTCTTCTTTCTTCAACTTACAAATGGCCCGGCATGGCCAGGTGGTTAAAGCACTCGACTCACAATCTGAGGGTCGCGAGTTCGAATCCTCGTCACACCAAACATACTCGCCCTTTCAACCGTGGGGCATTATAATGTGATGGTCAATCCCACTATTTG